TCCTAAAAATGATGGCCCTAAATTTCCCTGGGTCCCTTTATAAAGAAGGTGAAATGACCTCTGATGTATCATTTCCCCAGAGTAGTCAACAGACGTCACAAGGCCACCTCTGCCTAAAGACATGCTTTGTTTGGTCAGCACAGTGATGCATCCAAGTGGTAAAATCATTTTATTAATTGCAAACAGATAAAAACTGAGATTTTTGTATTCAAATCTAAATTCTTTGAAAGAAGCTTTAAAATTCTGATGACACCAGAGCCCCATTTCCCCCAGGTTGACAAGTGGCTAGCGCTTGGTAATGCTTCTCTTCAGCAGAGGGTGAGCTTTTCAGTCCTACTGCTCCCTAATGTCTAACACACAATCCACTGAGCACATTCATATTATCTGATCCTTTTAGGCACATGCGCTTGTAATTCTTCATCTAGATTTGGAGGAATACCAAAGATACCAAGAGATCCAGTTCTTCATTTCTAGCTTCCAGATCCTTACAAATACTCACCAATTGCTAAGGCCAGCTGATCCTTGAGAGAGCCTTTCCTCTCAGGCCCAAAGGGAAGCTCAGAGAGCTCAGAGGAGTTCAAGAAGCCCTAAGTGCACACACACACACAAAACAAACATAAATCAGTTTTGTGCTGCTCAAATTATCAAAAACAAGGCAAACATAGCTTATTTTTCAGAAAATGCTATAAGACAACTAAATATAGCTGATATTTTCATTAAGCCAAGGATGTTAAAAATTGACAACAGTTCCATTTTTATAAATATTTTATTCTATCACTCCACGACCCCAATTCCATCCCACTCCTGTCTTCTGGCCCTTTTCCCTTTTTTAAAAAAAGATATTTTGTTAGAGAAAGAGAGAGAGAGAAACATCAATGTGAGAGCAGAAGATCAACTGGCTGCCTCCTGTACACCCCCTACCAGGGATCTAGCTGGAAACCTTTTGGTGCATGGGACAAAGCTCAACCAACTGAGCCACACCGGCCAAGCTGGCCTAACTTCTTAAAATGTAGTTTCCTAGATACCAGGAATAACATTTTCATATCAATCATAACATTTTAAAGCTTAAAAGGTTTGTGAGTCCTAGCCAGTTCAGCTCAGTGGATAGAGCATCAGCCCGTGGACTGAAGAGTCCAGGCTCCATCAGGTCAAGGGTACGGACCTCAGTTGCAGGCTCAATCCCTGACACCAGTAGGGGTGCCTGCAGGAAGCAACTAATCGATGTGTCTCTCACATCGTGCTTCTCTCTCTCTGTCTCTCCTCCTACCTTTCACTCTCTAAAAAAATCAATGGAAAAATATCCTTGGGTGAGGTTTAACAAAACAAAAAAAAGGCTTGCAGATTGTTAATTGTTAATGCATAATAGTACAAATTCAAAGGAGGAGAACTGGACAATAGCTCACAAAACTACAATCCTATTTCTAGGAATTTACCCTGGCAATACACTTCCAATAATATGAGTGTACATATTCAGTGAGCAATTATGTCTAATAATAAAATACTGGAAACAACCTAATTGCCTAAACCTAAGAGAAGACTGGTTGAATAAACCACAGCTCAGCCATGGTATACTCTGTAACTGAAAAAAGAAAAAAAGGAGAGCTCCATGAGCTGCTATGCAGTATTTCTAGCTATATTAAATGAAAAAAATAAATTTAAAGAGCATATACAAATTATACCACCAGTTGTATAAAAGGTATTTTTTGTTGTTGTTTTTTAAATTATATATATATATATATATGTATATTTATTTTTTTTTTAATTGATTTCAGAGAGGGAGAGGGAGAGAAACATCAGTGATGAAAGAATCACTGATTGGCTGCCTCCTGCACGCCCCCTACTGGGGATTGAGCCTGCAACCATGTGCCCTTGACCAGAATCCAACCCAGGACCCTTTAGTCTGCAGGCCGACACTCTATCGACTGAGACAAACCAGCCAGGGTGTGTAAGAGGTATTTGTATAAATATGCTTATTTTTGTGAAAAGACATAAAGGATAACCATAAACCAATAAATCTGCTTATCTATAGGAGTGGATAGGAAATGGGGTAGAAAGGAGACAAGAGGCAGTAAGGTGTGTGTGTGTGTGTATCATAATTTTAACTTTCAGAACCTTGTTAATGTGTTACACATTCAAAAATTAAATTAACAAGGTTTTGGAGTGAAAATGAAAATTGATTAAAAGGAAACATAAGACTAACTGTATTTCAAATGAACAACATAACCTCACGGGTGTGTGTGTGTGTGTGTGTGTGTGTGTGTAATCCAAGTAACTTTCAATACAGTTCTTTGACCACATAACTTCAATGTAAAGATAAAAAGAACATCAAAGAAATCTTGAACTCCTTAGCAAGTTTGTTATTTGCAGTGGTCAGGTATAGTAACTCTGGAACAATTTGGTGTGTATTGTAACATCGAGTAAATAAGTAAACATATCAAAGTTGCTAGGAGCCAATGTACTCACTATGAGAAAGGGAACATAAAAAGACAGAATGGGGGAAGAAAAGGAAGAACCCTGTGGTGCAGGACTAGAATTGAAGTATAAATTCTAATCTACACACACACACACACACACACACACACACACACACACCCTGTCTGCTAAAAGAACGGAGAAGCAATGACATCTCAGTAGAAATAAATATACCTAGATCTTGGTTTCTCAAAACCATTCCCCCACTAAAAGGGATCAGGATTCCTTAGAGAAGTAAACAATTCCATGTTTGGAGCAAGGAAAGCATGACATAAGTCCAGAATATCTTGTATGCCAAAAAAAGTAAAGAAACACTCATAAAATGAGGAAATATCAAAAGACAATGGAGCCAGCCTGCACAGGTTTGCCTTGCACTGGCCAAATCCAGGAATAATTTGAGCAACAAAATAAATAATGCTTTAAAAACCCTCTTGATTTACATTTCGAATTCCCCACTTTGCTATCAAATGCCGAGACACCCAAATTCTTTTGAGAATATTTTTAACCTTTCAAACATTTTAACCTCCAAGCATATTTATAGTGCTATTCAAACTTTTCAAAAGTCTAAACAAAGCAGGAACATTTTCTTTTGCCTTTTTTTTTTTTTTGAGAGGTAAATAACACTAAGCAAATTTCTAGCAAAGGGATGGAATCATAACAGCAGGACAATATTTTTCTAATTACAGATTTTCATATTTGATTGGCTCTAATAACTGCTATGATCAAAGATGCTTGGGAAATGCTGGATTAAACAGATTTCCTTACTGCAGAACCACTCAGAGATCTGAAATGTGTTAGCAGGCATGGAATTCACCAAAAATCAACGTATAAATAAATAATTATACAATGAATTGTAGCTTGCTGTATAAAGTAAGAATCCATGAATCAATGTTGCACTAAACAAAGGGATAAGTTTCTTACAGTAGAATGTCAACAAAATTAATATATATAAAACAAATTATAAGTTAAAAAAAATTACCCTTATGCAACTATCATAGTAATAACTGATCTGCCAAGAATCATCAATGGATGCTAAAACTATTAGGCAAAAGTTTTTTGTGTGTGTTGTTGTTTTAAATGTATTTTTATTTATTTTAGAGAGGGAGGGAGAAGGGAAGGGAGACAAAAACATCAATGATGACAGGGAATCATTGACTGGCTACCTCCTGCACGCCCCACACTAGAGATCGAGCCCGCAATCCGGGAATATGCACCAATCAGGAATCGAACCATGATCTCCTGGTTCATAGGTCAACGCTCAACCACAGGCTAAAGTTTTTTGGAAGCTGGATGTTTATACAGTCTCAAGGAATTTCCCACACAGATAAGTTGTTAATTACAAAGAGGAACATGGTAACTTCACAGTGGAGAAATCTGGCAGAAACTATCTTGACCGAGAGACCAAAATTAGCATCAGTAATGGGACCAACAGTTATTATGCACCTCCTGATATGATGTTCTGAGAAAAATACAGGATAATTTATTTACTACTCCTACAAAAAAATCCATATTGTGAGTCTAAATAAGAAGAAACATCAAACCCAAATTGAAGGACATTCTACAAAACTGTCCTGTACTCTTCAAAAATGTCCATGTAGTCTGGCTAGTGTTGCTCAGTGGTTGAGCGTTGACCCATGAACCAGGAGGTCACAGTTCAATTCTCGGTCAGAGCACATGCCTGGGGTGGGGCTCAATCCCCAGTGTGGGACATACAGGAGGCAGCCAATCAGTGATTCTCTCTCATGATTGGTATTTCTCTCTCTCTCTCTCTCTTTCTCTCTCTCCCTCTCCCTTTCTCTCTGAAATCAATAAAAATATATTTAAAAAGAAAAAGTAAATGTAATGAAAGATAAAGAAAGGAAACTGAACAGACATGATAACTAAAAATCGCGTTGGTAACAATAGATATATACAAACTGATAAAGCAAATGAGGCAAAATGTTAACAAATGGTGACTCTGGATAAAAACCCACCATAGTTTACTGTAGAATACTGACAACTTTTCTGTAAGCTTGAATTTTTTTCAAAATAAAAGTTTTAAAAATTAAAGACCAAAAGTGGAAAAAAGGAAATAAAGCTAAAGGAACCAAAGTCTCTTATTACAGATAATGAAACAGAAACACAGTAAAGTTAATGAATGGCTCAGGGTTACAAATAGAATCAATGGCACAGTCAAGATTAGAATTTATAGTTCAAGTGAATCATCTACTCAATGCAATTCTAAAAAATAATCTCAATGCAATTTTCTGTATAATGTGACTATTTAATGCCAGCAACAATCAGCATTTACCATGAGATCTCAAGAAAAGGACAAATAGGAAGAGAAAAATGGTAGTACTAAATTTTTTAAAAATTGTGCAACCAGTCAGTTTATTTTTGCCTTGAATCAAAGGCTTTAAACAAGCTTGAATCAAAGGCAAATATATCATTCCTTCCTTGATCCTTCTATGAACAAAAATAACCTTATCCTTCTAAATTATGCCTTCTCCAATATCTTTTGTTTGTTTGATTTGTTTTGTTTTATACAGAGCGGAAGGGAAAGGAAACGAGAAAGTATTTACAGAAACATTGGTGTGAGAGTGGAACATCAATCTGCTGCCTCTTGCACGTCCCCTACCAGGAATCAAGCAGAGAAACTCAGGCATGTGCCCTGACCAGGAATTGAGCCTGTAACCAACGTCTTGGTGCATGGGACTACGTCCAACCCATCGAGCCACACAGGCCAGAGCTCCAATATCTTTATTTAAGAATCCTTTCCTCAGGTCAGATTTCTGAATACAAATCTGCACCTGATTTGACTGACTCCACCCCACTGGCATTCATTCATTCATTCAACACAGATTTACTGAGCCTCAGCTAAGAGCTGGGCCCACTTCTCTTTCACCAGACATAGTAGTGAAAAGACAACTCCCCTGCCTCATGAAGCTTGTGTTCTACTGGGAAAGACAGACACATACGTGTAAATAAAAATGTAAAACATAAGCACTATAACACAAAAATGTTAATGAAATAAGTGGACCACAGGAGGAAGGGTACACCTCTCCAAAGAGATAACATTTAAGCAGAGACAAGAAGGGAGACAGGAGACTGACTGAAAAAGTAAACAACGAAGACTCTAAAGAGGGGAGGTGGAGTGGAACAAATCCAGCGTGTTGGCGACAACACACTGGAGACCCCAAAACTCACTTTACTGTAAGTGGAGAGTTGATCCTTTAGGCTCTGACAGTGCAACATGGTTCCAAGGGCTACTTGCTGGACCAACTGTTGAAATTTTAGATTTCTTGCAACAAAATCTGTCTCACAGTTTACCTGTAGGAACAAACTGATGTTGCTGTATAAGCTATTTACTGTTAGTTTCCACAAGTGCCTTAAGGTTGGAGAGTAAACAAGGTATTGACAGAACACGCTGCAGACTCAACAAAGCAAAAATAAATGACCCCAGAACTTTAAATCTGCAGTTCCTCTCCTAGCTGAGGCCAAAAGCTGAATAAGTGATTCCCGCCGCATCCCTTAGTTAGCAATGACTTGCACATTCAGAAGATGGTCCACCATGTCCCCAAAAGACTCACTCGCCGTGACTGCGTGCCTTAATCAACTGATTCTCCAGCCTCCCCCAACTACAACCCAGTTTTGTTATCAGCTTATTTATCTCCTTCTCTCACTCTAAACTCTAATCCCACTCTAATCCAAATCTGATTCTTCACTAATTGTGGCCCCCAAATTCTAAAACAGCAACTCTCTATCCATCAACTAATTAATATAATTTCCTAGTTTTAAAATCAAACTGTTCCAGGAAACAATCAGTGAAAAGGTATAAGGCTACACCAGACTGACATTTAGGAATAATATTCTAGACTGCTAGGTCTTTTCTCATCAACACACCTTCACATTTCTATACTTAAATGAATATGCAGCTAATAATTGTGGTCTCATGGGTTCAATTCAACTACCCTTTGCGGCTCTCAAACACCTATTCTTTCAGAATGCCAACAGTCTACCACAAAGCCGTACACTGCAGGGGCAGCTGTTCCTGGTATTTGGAATTCTGGCCATCTCACCTCAACTAACACAGTCGAGTTTCCTTCCTGCAGCAGCCCGATCAGACCTTCTTTAGTCTTCCTTCCATGGAGCTTGGCAGCTTTGCCCCAGCCCTCCTTCTGGGCCTGCTCATGAAGCCAGCTCTCTGCCTACAAATTGAAAAGGAAAGGGGCAGATGACAAAGTCACAGAATTTAGAACTGAACGGGGATCTAAACTATGTTCAGGTCCCCTGACTCCTCCTGCTTCCCTTCAATCCCGTAAGAGAAACTGGAGTATGGCAGTCTATGGCTACATGCCAAACACCCAGCATTGTGCCTGGTGCTTTGGATAAACCTAATCCTCACCACGACCCTACGGGGCGGATAGTAGTATTTTCACTGTGTATATATACAAGAGCAATGCAACTCTGAAAGATTAAGTGAGAAGGGTCACAGGGGTAGTGTGAGGGCACCAGGATTTTAACGCCGGTCCGTCTGACTCCAAAGCTCACACAAGCCCTTTCAGCTCTCAGCAGCAGGAAGCAGCACTGCCGTTTGCAAGATGTGAGGTTTGTAAAGCCTGGGACCCTGAATCAATTGCTTCCCAATAGGACGGAGTCAACGGCTGAGGCTGTCACTTAAGTCAGAATCCTACCTAGAGGTCGGCGTTAGGAGTCGCTGGGCAGAAGTCTGACTTCCACGCTCCCCAGCGCGACCGCCCGGACAGACGGACCTCCGCCCCTGCCGGTCCCCTGCCCGCCCCCGCACACCTGTCTGAGATCCCCGCCGCAAGTCTCCAGGGCTTTCTTGCAGTTCACAAAAGAATAGCCCGTTTTCCGCCGCAATTTCATGAGCAGATCCTTGCTGGAGGCCGAGGACAGCCAGTGCCCCGCGTGAAAGGTGTGCCATGGCTGCGGCGACTGAAGCGGAAGGGGCCCTGCCTGGAGGAGCAAGAAAAAGGGATGAGAAGCAGGACTCGGCGAGGTGTTGCGGCGGCCGAAAGCACGTCCGCAGCGAGGTGACCTGAGGAGGGACTGGGGCCCGGAGTTGGGGGAAGGCTGCGGCGGAAGCTGGACCGCGAAGAGGCCAGGAGGTGGGGGAAAGGGTGGGGTGCAGTCTGAAAGGGAGTCGGAGGTGCGGTACCCGGGAGACCTGCTTTCCTTGCGGGGGACCAAGACCCCTCACCGGACAGCCCCCGGTCCGCGCGACCAGACAGAGGCGCAGTGACCGCAGCAGCGACATCTCTCCGGCCGCCGCACGTTGCTGCGGGTGCGCCGCACTGATGAGGCCACGGGCCTACGGCGTGGCGGCAGGGCCAAACCTCTCCGCCGGGATGTGCCGAACGGGATGCCGCCACCTACTGGCCGGAGGGCGCACCCTCACCTCCCCCACTGGGCTTATTGAGATGACTTTTCAGAACGGAATTGCTACCCCCAGGTGAAATAGGAAACCATGAGACAAAGTCGTCACAAAGTAACAACACAAGACATGTGGTAACACTTTGTTTCTTTATTTCCAATGCTCTTTCATATTTAGTATCCATTTATGAATCAAGACAAAATTGTGAGGTAGGTGGGTGGGTTCAGAAATTTGCCAGAGGTCACCTGGGAAAGGTAGGGGCATGGTCCCTTCAACAAACTCAATAAATATTTGTTGAATGAGTAAAATATCTATTGAACACTAAATAAATATAAGTGTGCCAGGAACTATGCTAGGCTTCAGGGAATTAGAGTAATTAACTACAGCCCTACCCTCCCATGCAATCTATCTAACGGTGAGAAAATAGGGAGCAGACACATGACCACCCAAGACAAGGTAAGTCTCATAAGATGAACAGTTAGGGTGTCAAAGGAGAAAGAAATCACATCCCAACAGAGGGCTCAGGAAAAGCTTTTTTTCAGGATAGAGGCTAAGAGTAGTGAAGATTTTGACCGATAGAAATAGCCCTTCCAGGGAAGGAATCATCAAAGAGAATGAAGAAAGGAGTCAGGGAAGCTTGGTGTGGATTTAGGGAACAAAGAGAAGACTTTTGGCCCGAGGTTGCAATACATTTGGAAACAAGCAGGAAATGAAGTAGAGGGTGATTTGGGATTAACTAGGATAGACTGAGTACCAAGCAGAGGAGCTTACTCTTGCTTCTGTAGGCAGCAGCAGAAGCAAATCAGGGATGCTTTTGGAAAAGTTGGAGGCCAGGAGGCCAGAGGAAGTGATATGTGGCCTGAGGAGTAAGGATAGCCCCAATCAGAGTTACCACAGTGGGAAGAGAAAAGAGATGAAGGCAAAACACATTAGGAAGGAAGGACTGACAGGGTTTAGACACCTAAAGAAAAATAAAGAGAAGAACCAAGTACTTAGCGATCAGGACCCCAACTCCAAAAAAGAATGAAGAAGGTACAGGCCAAAGGACAGCTCTGCTTCCTATCCCCAGCTTCAGGCCTGGGAGGACCTGACCCAGTTAGAGCCATGGTCCCACCAGACTATCTCTAGAAGCAAGAAGTGGGTGGTCTGAGGCTTCTTACTTGCCCGCACCCCAACAAAAGCCTGAGTTCTTTGGATGTAGAAGAGATCTTTAATGCTCATGTTTCTTTCCCTTAAAAAAAAAAAAAAAATTCCAGTAGAATTTGGCCAAATACATATATTCTGTATAAAAAGACAATAGCAGGACTGGACGTGATCAGTGACAGTCTCTCTGCAGCCACTGTTCTCACATCTCATTTACCTCCCCTTCGCCTCAAAACCCTGGATACCCTCCCATCATCATCCTTTGCTGAGAACAAGAGCTAGGAACGTCCTTTGTGCTCTAATCCAGCGCTGCTAGGGCTCTAGATTCTTAGCCAGCAGGCACCTCCCTGTACCTGCCCAAGAGTACCTGGGGAAACTAAGAAGGAAGGAGGAGAGAGAGGCAAGGGAAATCCATCCTTTTTGGTCCTTATGTTTCTGGCTTTGGAGATGTGGCAGTTTCTTCATTAGGACAAGGGGTCCGGAGAAGCAGAAGGATGACATCAAACAGGTCTTCGTTCCCTGTGCCTGGCCCTATAGATGTTGACATTCTCATCCTCATCCCGCTGGGCCAGCTCCAGCTGGAAATGCTGGGGCAGGAGGTACTGAAAGAAGCTCTCTGTCCCATGCTCCTCTCTCATCTTGGAGGCCAGATAGATGGTGCCATGGGGCCCGCACAGGTGTTGGAGTGTCCCCAGCAGCAGTGGGAAGGTGGACTCCAGATACACAATATCAGCCCCCAGCACCAGGTCATAATCGCCAGGGAAGACATGCTGGTCAATCCCCCAGGACAAAGCGCGGACCTGGGCCCGGCCTCCAGCTGGCACGTTGGCCTGGACGTTGCCCTGGATCTGTTCTAGGGCCAGGGGCAGGTCAGTGATGGTAACATCCCCCCCTGAGAGAGAGAAGAAGGAGGACAAATGAAAGTCAGAGGGACCAACAAAGGGGTCTCGGCTCCTGCCCAGAAGGTCCAGAGGCCTCAGAGCCTGGAGGACAATGTCTTGACAGTCGAAGTCCACCCTTTGGCTTCAGTTGCACTAACCTCCACCTTACCCACCGCCACTCTCATTACTCTACATTCTACCACATCAACATTCTCTCTGAGCTAATCTTCAACCTCTCTGCTCAAAACACAACAATCATATGTCAGCAGAAGCCTGGGTAGCACTAAGCTGGAGTCGGGCTATGCACCCACCCCCTACTGCCTTGGACCAGCTTCAGAGGTCTGGAAAGCTTCCCAGAAAACGTGCCCTCAGTGAGCCTTAAAGGACAACTCAGGTGGAGCTTTCCACACAGAGAACTGAGAGTACAAAGGCCTGGTGGTGAGAGCATGGAGTATTCAAGGAAGGCTGGATCTTAGATAATGTGGAAGGGAGGAGAAAAGTGTCAAGACATGAGAGTAAAGAGAAAAATGATGACATGCTAAAGAGATTCAGTCTTGATCCTAAGGGCAATGGGGTTTTTTTTGTTGTTGTTGTTTTTTAAAAAATATATTTTTATTGATTTCAGAGAGGAAGGGAGAGGGAGAGAGATAGAAACATCAATAATGAGAATCACTGATCGGCTGCCTCCTGCACACCCACTACTGGGGATAGAGCCTGCAACCCGGGCATGTGATGTGCCCTTGACCGGAATCGAACTCGGGACCCTTCGGTCCGCAGGCTGACGCTCTATCCACTGAGCCAAACCAGCTAGGGCAGCGCAATAGATTTTAAATATAGAAGTAGGGGGGTGCAGATAATCAAACTAGCATCTCAGAAAGCTTCATTCATGCAATAAATATATGTATTGAGCATCTAAGTTCTGGGGATATAGCGGTGAGCAAGACAAAACCTCAGTCTTCCTAGAGGTAGAGACACACTAAGTACTGCAAGACTCTTTAATCATAACCATGATGACCATTATAGAAACAGCAAGTATTAAGAATTCATTCATTCATTTATGTTGATTATGTGCCTGTATGCCAGGTGCTGCAAACACAGCAGTAAACCAATCAAGAATCCCACTGATGGAGCTTACAGTCTAGTGGCAAGAAACAGACAACAAACAAAACATAAAATGCACTGCACATGAGATGGTAGTGAGTGCGGTGGTGAAGGATGCATCAAGCAGGGGAGGAGAATAACAGCTGCTTGCTGGACAGGCAGGGAATGTAGTTTTCAACGGGATGGTTAGGGAAAGTCTTACTGAAGAGATGCATTTGGGCAAAGAAAGATGGAAGTGACGGAGCAAACCACATGGATCTCTCAGGCTAAAATGTACCAAATGAGGGACCACAGAGTGCAAAGACCTTGAGGCAAGGAGGTGCCTGGCAGACCTACGGAGCAGCAGGAAGGCCAGTGGCTGGAGCAGAGTAAGTGAGGGAGAAAAAAGTGGGGGCCGGATTCTAAACAGGGCCTTTTCAGGAGACTGTAAGAAATTTGGCTTTCACTCTGGCTGAGATAGGAGGCTACTGGATAATTTTAAATGGAAGAAGGAAATACACTGAGTTATGCTTTTAAAGGATTACTCTGGCTGCTGGGGTGAGAAAAGACGGCAGAGTGGCAAGGTCAGATGCAATGATGATCATGGTTTGAACCAGGGCAGTAGCAATGTCTAACAAGTGGTCGGATCCTGAATATATTTTAAAGGTAGTCAACAGAATTTGCTGACAGATTAGATATGAAATACGAGAGAGAGAGAGAGAGAGAGAGAGAGAGAGAGAGAGAGAGAGAGAAATTGAGCCGGGCACTAAGATGTTTAGCCTGACCAACTAGAAGACTGAATTGCCATTCATTTAGATGAGCAAGATTGCAGGATTGGGCACGAAGATCATGAGTCTGTTTCTAGACACATTAAATTTAAGATGTCCATCAGACAAGCACATGATATCCCAGGAGAAGAGATTACACAAACAAGTCTGAACAAGGTAGACATGGGCCAGAGAGTCATCAGCATAGGAAGGGTATTTAAAGACATGACATGATAGGATTGCTTGGGAGTGAGAGCAGGCAGAACAGGGAAGGGCTCACAGCACTTCTCCTGAGTCCTGGGACACTCAAATTATCAGTTGAAAAGGAACCAACAAAAGAGAATGGAAAAGAATACCAGTGAGGTGGGCAGAAACTAGAAGAGTGGTGCCCTGGAAACCAAAGGAAGTGCTTCAAGGAGGAAGAAGAGTCAAATGCTGCAAAGTTAAGAAAGGTGGGCTCATAACTGACTCCTGTGTTTAACTGCATGGAGTTAGGAATGAGGCTCACAGCTTTGACTAGAGCAGCTGGGATGGATGGGGCACGGAGGGGGTGTCTCAAAATGGATTGAGGAAATAATAGCAAGGGGGAACTACAGACAGGGAATATTAATTCTTGAGGAATTTTGTTATAGAAGAGAAATGGGGTAGTGCCTGGAGGGATATGTAGAATCTAGAGTTTTTCTGAAATAGGAGAAATCACAATATATTTTGTACATTATACACACACACACAGAGAATGGACCAGAGAGAAGGAAAATCTGATAATTCATGAGAGATGTGGATGGAGAAGTGTTTACTGGAACAATATCTTGGAATAGATGAGAAGGTCTGGTGTCTCCTGAAAAGTGGAGAGCTTGACCTTGACTAAGAGCATAACAGTCATTCATGGTACACACACTATAGGAGAGAAGGTAGCACATACAGACCCAGATATAGGTAGGTGAGTAGATCATGTTGACTTTTTCTATGAGAAAATAGAAGCAATCAGAAGAGATAGGAAACAAAGTCATCAGCTGACAATGAAGACAGGGGAGGAAGCATTTGGAGGTTGAAAGGGCAAGAAGATAAGAATCAGATGTTTAGGAGAGGTGAATAAGTGAACGAGGGTGGTGCAATAGGCTACCTGGGTAGCACTTAAGGATGCACCTGAGGTTAGTAACAAATTTAAAATGAAACCAGCCAGCACATTTGTGTATACACTAGGAGAGACTAAGCTAGCCTGGGGTGGCAGTGTCAAGGAGGCCTTCCCTTGGAAGGCTGAGCACTAAAGGATGTGTATGCATGAACCAGCTGGCACAGGATTTAAGGCACAGAGCATGGCCTGTGTGAAGGCTCCACGGAAGGAAACATCAAGATAGACCTGAGGCCCTGGCCTGGTAGCTCAGTTGGTTAGAGCATCATCCTGATATGCCAAGGTTGCAGGTTCCGTCCCTAGTCACAGCACATACAAGAATCAACCGGTGAATGGATAAATAGGTGGAACAACAAATCGATGTTTCTCTCTCTCTGAAATCAATAAATAAAATTTTTTTTTTAAATCAACCAATGGCCCAGCCTGTATTGCTCAGTGGTTGAGATCAACCTATGAACCAGGAGGTCATGGCTCGATTCCTAGTCAGGGCACATGCTTGATCCTCAGTGGGGAACATGCACAAGGCAGCTGATCAATGATTCTCTCTCATCATTAATATTTCTATCTCTTTCTCCCTCTCCCTTCCTCTCTGAAATTAATTTAAAAAAAATTTTTTTAAATAAAAATAAGGGGGGGGGTACGGGGTGGGAAAGGTCAATGGGGGGAAAAAGGGACATATGTAATACTTTTAACAATAAAGATTAAAAATAACTAAATAAATAAATAAAATAAAAATCAACCAATGAATGCTAAGTGGAACAACAAATCAATGTTTCTCTATCCCTTCGTCTCTCTCTCTCTCTCTCTTTCTCTCTCTTTCAATTTTTAAAAGCCCTCTCCCTTCCCCTTTTCTGAAAATCAGGCAAAAATATTTTTTCAAAAAGAATAAGATCCATTTAAAAAAGAAAAAAGACTTGAGGAACTGACACAAGGGTAACAGGTAGCATAAGGCTTAAGGAAGGGGAGGGAGAGGCACAGAAAGAGGCCAGAGAGGGAAGTCAGACATTGGAGGCTATCTAAACATAGTGGTCCTATTCTGAAAGCAACAAGAAGCTATTGAAAGATGGAAGTGTGTGTGTGTGTGTGTGTGTGTGTGTGTGTGTGTGTGTGTTGGGGTGGGGAGGAGTAATAACAGTTACATTCTGGAAAGATCACTCTAATTGTTGGGTGGAGTATGCAGAGGTATAGGCGGCAGCAAGGAGTGGAAGCAGGAAGACCAGTTTGACTAACTGTGGCAGTTCTAGGCAAGTAATGGTGGTGGCATGGACTGGGGAGCTATCAGTGTCAATGGGAAACATGACAAGTAAGATCCTATTAACCAATGTCACCCCAATAAATAAAGAGATTTAAAAGATTTTTAGGAGATAAAATCAATAGGACTTGAATAATGGGTATGGGGTAAGAAAAAGAGATGTGTCCAAGGTGCTGTCTAGGTTTTCCACTGGGTGTGATTCACGGAGATGGAGAAGTCTGAGGAAGAAACAGGTTTGGTGGGGGAAGGTCGTAAGATCAAGTTTGGGCAAGCCCAACTTCCCCACCTAAGAACTCTAATGAAAATCTAAGGAAGAGATGGCAGTAGTTTGAACTAAAGATGGTGGAAGAGTGGACAACTGGGTAAGCATTAAGGACCTATGACCTAGAGGAATGGCTGATTGAGGGCATAGGATAAGGGACAAAATGACAGATTTCTGACTTGGCAGCTCAAGAAGGGTCCAAGGAGGAGAAACCAGCCTAGGAGCAAGTGAAAGCAGGTGTTCCCAACCATGTTACATGCCTTTCTCCACTGTTAGCATAACTGCCCATCTCTCATTCACCCATCCTTCATGGAAAACTACTGCTGGCACCCCTTCAGCTCTTTCTGAGCCTGCTGTGTTCACGCTGCTCACCTCTTTCCCGTCCAACAGAGCTTCTCTTTGGAAACCAGGGAGACATGACAAGGGTATGTCCACTGCCTCTGTGCATACCTCACCAGAGTTCTTGTACTGTAACTTCTTCCCTGTCCTCCTCGCTAGACCATGAGCTCCTCAGGGAGAGGAAATCTCTCTTACTTGTATTCCAATAGCTAGCATGACTCTTAGCACGTAGAGAACTCCAAATACATGTTGGTTGAATGAACAGAATGAGTGCCTGCCTCTTAAAAGACTTCCCTCGATGTTAATTTGCATTTCTAGGGAGATGACATTAGAAATGTTTTTAAACGAGTGTTTCTGGTGTGAGGTTTTGCCTGACTATCATATTATAAATTAAGGGACTGTTTCCTTTGCAGTTTTTGGTTCTTGACAAAAGTGAAGCAAAGTTTTCCTTACCTTTTCCTTTTTCAAGTCTGTGGTGCCTAATTCCTATCCCATCCCACAAAACACACCCTAACCCTCAGAAAGTCTTAAGCTTTCTCCCAAGCAATCAAAACCTTAAAAATCTAAAAAACAAAAAACTTTTTAAACCCCTCAGAGTAAAGTCAGAAAGCACTCATGAGGTTTAATACCAACAGGTTACTTCCCCTAGGTATCCCCAAATATGCATCCTGCCAGAAGACCATGTCCAAAGCCAAGGAGCTTTTAAGTGACAGGCTTGTCCATGAAATCACAAAAAGGAAAAAGGTAGAAAAATCCCTTCTATTAAGGCCTGCCCGGTCCATGAGCGCTGCCTTCCACACAAAAACAGGTATAAAGGGGGGGGGGGGTGTCCCAAACCATTCCCCTCTCCCGAGGATCCAGCAAGTGACCATCTCCCCACATTCCCGCCCCCGCCCCCACCCTCTCGGGACCACAAAGCTCACGCACCCTGCAGCGCTGCCAAGATCCCCACGATGCCGGTCCCCGCACCCAGTTCGATCACCTTCTTGTCTCGGAAATCCACATTTTGATTTTCGAAATAGTTGCACAGGCTCAGAGCCTATAAGAGAAAGAAAGACCGTCGCGGGGACCGCTCCATATGGCAAAGGGCGAGTCCGGGTCTGGCGCTCCCGTGGGCCCGCGCCCGGGGCCGCCCACTCCTCACCGCATCCCACACGCGCGCGGCCACCCCGAGGCGGGACCCGAAGTTCTGCGTGATGCTCAGCACGTGCCCACAGAAACAGAACCGGCTCTTCTCCGAGTAAGAGTCGGCGAAGAGCCCGACCTCCCGCGGGAACACCGATTCGGGCTCGGAGGCAGGATCTGGACGGAGGTCCGCCATCCGGTCCAGAGAGTTGGGGACACCGCCGCCGGCCCGGGGACCCCCGATCCGGAGCGGGGCGGGGCGGGGGACCTCGGGCCACGTCGGCTGCCCGTGGCACCGAGCCCCGCCTCCTGAGTCTGCCTCCTCCCTGCAGTTGGACTTCCCGGACGTGGGATGCGGAGCTACCCTCCCACTCCGGTCCCCAGCCCACACCCGCGGGACTCACTCCAGACCACGCCGGTCAGACCCGGCAGTGTGGTCCGAGGCCCGGAGAGAGGGGAGCGGCGCGAGGATTCATTCTGCCGTGGAAGGGGGGGGGCCCAGACCCCTTTTACCTGCGGGGTGCACGGCCTCCTGCCGCCAGGGTAGTCACCCAGAGCCGGCCGGCGCAGGCCAAGCGAAGAGGAGGGGCGCGGGTCCTGCCTCTCCGGCCCGGGACAGACCTGCGGTGCAGAGGCGCCGGCGGCAGGGATCCCCTCGGGTCCGCCCCGCCCCGCCCCGTCCAATGCGCGCTCTTGGGTCTTTAAGGGGCGGGGTCTGCTCGGACGTGCTTGCGTCATCAGCGTGCGCCGCGGCCGCGGTCTCCACGTGGGTTCAGTAGAGAAACGGGCTGGGGATCATGGCGGGAGCCGAGGCCGGGGGCGCGGCCGGAGCCCAGGCCCCGCAGCCGCAGAAGCGCTACTATCGGCAGCGCGCTCACTCCAACCCCATGGCGGACCACACGCTGCGCTAGTGAGTGCGCGGGGCAGGGCAGGGGCAGGAGGGGGCGGAGCACTCAGGGTGGCCCTAAGCCGCTGCGAAGAGCGGTTGTGCTGGGAGGGTTCCTGGTAGCCCCGGAGGCTGGGCTGCGTGACGTCAGCCTTGGGGTGGACCCGGCAGATTGGGCGGTGGGCGGGGTGCGGGCTGGAGTGGGCGTGGCGTCTGGCCGAGTCTGGGTTGAGGTGCAAGTCTGGCGCGGGAAATTGTCACTGAGACAGTTGTCAGTGATGGCGACAGAAGGCCTTTCACATCGTAAGGTTTCCTTTGTCGGATTTAATAAAAAGACAACACCCAGCCGGCCTGCATCTTACTCCATCCTCTTCACCCAGAGCACGTAAGCAAAGTAAGATCCCAGCGCCTCCAGGAAGCCAGTCTCTGGGCGAAGGGGAACTCGTGCCCAGCCAGTCGTCAACCCCTAGATATGGGGATGGGCGGGCCTCGTGATGGGCCTATGATTCACAGGGTGGTTTCCACTGTATCTCCTAGAGGCCACGGGACCCACTGTTACAGAATTGTTTAGAAACCCTCCCATCTACTTCCCATCCTTACCCATCCACCCACGCACATGTAGTGACACTACTGCAATAGTATGGCCAGCCCTCTCACGTTTCTCACGTCTTCTCTCCAATAGCCCTGTGAAGCCAGAGGAGATGGATTGGTCCGAGCTATATCCAGAATTCTTCGCTCCACTGACTCAAAATCAGAGCCACGATGACCCGAAGGATAAGAGCGAAAAGAGAGCTCAAGCCCAAGTGGAATTTGCAGACATAGGCTGTGGCTATGGTGGCCTGTTAGGTAACACTCTGTCTGGGCAAGGAAAGGCAGTGCCTAGGTTCTGCCACCTCAGCAGATTTGGAGGGGGCCATAGTTGGCCTTTCCCCTTCGGACCAGACACGAGTGCTGTGACATCAGTGGGGAAAGTCTCCACCTTCCATCTACTCTGGGTCTGTGGCCTTTGCCCTGGAGAAGGGAGGGGGCTGCCTCAAAGGCCTCTTCAAACTTGGGTTGTCCTGTCTGGCCTGGCCCCTGGCCCCCGTCACTACGTGAGCCATTTCACCTGCCAAGTGCCGGGTCAGTGAGCTGGTCAGCACGAGCGTCAGAGATCAGCCACTGTGGCCAGTGATCCTGAACTGTCTTTCTCAGGGATTCCATCACTCCCCCCTCCCTCACCAGAACTCATTCCTTCTGCTCCACTCTCCTGTTTTTGAGTTCCTCTAGTATTCTTTGTAATGCTCCCATACGTGCTTGCTAAGCCACTTCCCTATTTTTACATCTTCCCATAGAGATAATGACTTGACAAAGAGGAAGAGCATGGTACTTGGTGGCAGAAAGCTTTGGTTCAAGTTCCAGTTCTGTCTCTTCTTAGCTGTCTGACCTTGGACATTTCTTATCCTCAGTTTCCTCATATTCACAATTTACCACAGAGCTCTAAGAGGGTTAAATGAGAGAATGTGTGAAAGCACTAAAGCACCTGCAAATATACATGTCTTCCCAGGCTCTCCAACTTCCAGTCCTGGTGACAGTTTTAATATCTCCCCCAGCCCTCTACTCCAATGTAAAATGATCCATATAGACCTCTCTGTCCACGCTTGCCATTGCAGATATTGGTCGTTGCAGATTGAGGTTTCCTTTCCTGTACTGACTCCTTTGAAGTTCCTGTAGTATGAGGTTGATGATTCCATTCCTGTTTCTGTGTCCAGTGGAACTGTCACCGCTGTTCCCAGACACACTGATTCTGGGTCTGGAAATCCGGGTAAAGGTCTCAGACTATGTACAGGATCGGATTCGAGCCCTACGAGCAGCTCCTGGAGGTGGCTTCCAGAACATCGCCTGTCTCCGCAGCAACGCCATGAAACACCTTCCTAACTTCTTCTACAAGGGCCAGGTGGGGAGGGGCCCCGGTGGGTTAGGCTGGTGGAAAGGTGGGACATAGAGGCCAGGCTCTCACCACCCAGTTTGTGCATGTCTGTCTCACAGCTGACAAAGATGTTCTTCCTCTTCCCTGACCCACATTTCAAGCGGACGAAGCACAAGTGGCGAATCATCAGTCCCACACTACTGGCAGAATATGCCTACGTGCTGAGAGTTGGGGTGAGTTGGGAGTGGGAGGAAGGATGGGGTGAGTATCCTATTCGGGGACCTTCCACTAAGAATTCAGTGGGGCCCCAGCCGATTTGGCTCAGTGGATAGAGTGTCAGCCTGAGGACTGAAGGGTCCCGGGTTCGATTTTGGTCAAGGGCACATGCCCAGGTTGTGGGCTCGATCCCCAGTAGGGGGCATGCAAGAGGCAGCTAATCTAATTCTCTCTCATTATTGATGTTTCTCTCTCTCCCTCTCCCTTCCCCTCTGAAATCAATAAAAATATTAAAAAAATAATAATTCAGTGGGAATGCAGCCCATCACCTTGCTGCTCAATTGCATACAGCCCCCCTGATTTTGCCTGTGCAGGGGCTGGTATATACTATAACTGATGTGCTGGAGCTACATGAATGGATGTGTACCCATTTTGAAGGGCACCCCCTATTTGAGCGTGTGCCTCTGGAGGAGCTGGTAAGTTGGGGGCCTAAGGGAAATTGTGAAGATACAGGCCCTTTCCAGACTGGTGTTATAGTCTTTGAACCCAGCTTAGTGTCAGGAGGATGGGATGGGAGTCTCAGGGCCAGGGGTGGTCAAGGACTTATTGGACCCTTCTCCCAGAGTGAAGACCCTATTGTGGGACATTTGGGCACCTCAACTGAGGAGGGAAAGAAAGTTCTACGCAATGGAGGAAAGAATTTCCCCGCCATCTTCCGAAGAATACAGGATCCCACCCTCCAGGTGGTGACCCCCAACCCTACCCCTCCTGGTCACTGACTGCTTACCTCGCTTCATCTGGACTCCTTCTTCCAGGAACTAGAAAGAAGATCAACCCCCTGGACCTTCCCAGCTGAGACTGCTGGGGCTTTGAGGCAACAATCTCTCAAAGAAGTTGGGGGACTGCCCAGGGCAGAGCCCTGGTTTTCATTACTACCCTTGCCTCGTCCTTTCCTGCCCCTCCATTGCCAACAGGAAGTAGAAGAAGCTGACTGAGAAGATCAGAAGACCTTGAACCAGTAGGGATATTTGGGAGGATTGGGGTCTTGCTCCTCCTTAGCACTTCCTTCTCCCTCTGGGATCTCTCCTCAGCTGGAGTGAGGAATACAGTTCTCCACTGTCCATCTAAACGGCCTGCTAAGTTCAAATCACCTGTCCACTTGTGTGTACTTTGTAGTCCTGGGGTTAACAGATAAGTGGGCACATGCCCATGCTGCTGTTTCTCAGGGAAGGGGAGAGTGTGTATCATGTATATCCTCCCAGCCTCTCCCTGCCTAAGACTTGATCTAGGGAATTTATGCTGCCTTTATTGTAACTGTTTCTGAAGAGTCCCAGGGAGGGTGTGGGGTTGGAGACCCTCTCTTTTTTCATCTTGACCTTCCATTCCAGAACTTCTGGGCTGACTGGCTGACATAAAAGAGCCCCCATCCTCAAGGAACAAAGATGAAGGCTCCTGTAACCCATTTTACCCCATTAACTCACCTGCCATTTGCCCAGTGTCCAGTAGAGGAGTTGGGGGATATGTGATAGTGCAAGAAAATTCTGCTCATACAGAGAAGGAGCAGCTGATGAGCCAAGAATATGAGGACAGCTACGGCTGTGCCTCTTCCCCGCTCGCTTCCTTTCCAGGAAGAGCTGGAGGATGGGGAATTCCTGAGCATGGGCCGAGGGGCCTGTCTCCGAGAGGAAGTGGTGGGAATATCAGGGACTGACTATATCTTGGTCACCTAAGTTTCACTAAATAGCCTTCCCAGGAAGAGGTCTTCAGGTTATGGGACTAGGGCACCAGCCCAGGAGGAGAAACTGAGGCAGACCTCCCCTCCCAAGAGGGTCATTGCAACATGAGACCCAAGAGAGCTACACAGGCAGCCTCAGCCCCTCCTACTGTTCCTAGGTGCTAATCCCTGCACAGACCACTGGAAAGAGGATTGGCTGAGTGGCTTGGAGAGGGGGCGTCGCCACTACCTTCCCCAAGGGTTAAATAGGGGTGCAGACAAGATGCTCGGAAGTGCTGTATTTCCCAGAACCAGACCATGACCCAGACCCTCAAGCTCGCCTCCAGGGTGTTGCATCGTGCCCGCTGTGTTTTTGAGCTGGGCGCCTCACTGGGCTCCAGAGGCTCCGGCTCAGCGCCTCGGGGCTTGGCAGACATCCCAGGCCCCTCCACGCCGGGTTTTCTGGCCGAACTTTTCTGCAAGGGAGGGCTGTCGCGCCTACACGAGCTGCAGGTAGATTGGGACTCTGTTCCTGGGACTCCCGCGCTGGGGACACAGACTAGTGCAGATCGTAGGAGGGAAGGCCAGTGAGGACGGATGCGCATGAATTACAGAAAGACTAGCTGGGACTTGGGGCTTTGGCTCAAGCAGCACGGAGTCCATCCCGACACCCAGCAGGAGTGCATTCAGAAAGCGCCTTCTCCTCGCAGTGCGGAAGTCTGGAAGCCCGGTAGGTCCAGACAAATGGGCAGGAGGCAGGAACGCGCAGGACCTTCCCCCGGCATTCCGCGTGTTGGGCTTAAAGCTACCTGCGCTCCTATCCTTTGGGCTCTCGTCCTGAAATGGAGAGTCCTTTAGGGATTTTTCCACCGTGGCTTGGCCAAGGTGACCAAAGAGAGGTCCTGAATATCTAAGCAAAGTCCTTCCACTTGGCCCATCACACTCCAACTTTCTAGGGATGGAAAGAGGGGGAGAGGTTTTTAGCATTAGGTCCATGCACCAGCTGGGAGCTCCCCCTTCCAAAGCCTCGCCACTTGGTGTTGGCACGGGCCAACCTGGGAGTCCCTTTGCCCATGTCTCCGGTGTCGCCGCGCCCATTCTCCCAGGTGCAGGGCGCTGCGCGCTTCGGTCCTGTGTGGTTGGCCAGCTTCGGGAAGGTGCGCACGGTGTACGTGGCGGCCCCTACACTCATCGAGCAGCTGCTGCGACAGGAGGGGCCCAGGCCCGAGCGCTGCAGCTTCTCACCGTGGGCTGAGCACCGGCGCCAGCGCCAGCGGGCTTGCGGACTGCTCACAGCGTGAGTCCTCTCTGGCCCAAAGCCCTGAAGCCCCACTGCGTCCCTCTCCAGTGGAGGGTCTGGAGACAGTCTGGGGGTGTGGATGAGGGAAGGCCGTCTCCCGCAGACTCTGCCAAATAGGGATTTTCACCCCAGTCTGTTTCTCAAGCTCAGGTAGAGCCCGGCCCGCGCCCCACGCTCCCCTCCTCTTGATCCTTATCTTTTGAGGGCAGAATCCTGGGTGCCGGCAAACGGGGCTAGGGTACCAGGATCCAGATGTAATGTAAGATTCTGTGACTCAGGTTACCCAGGAATCCAGGCCCCTCTGGGGGCAGGAAATGAGTAAGGAAGAAAGGGGATGAAAAGCAGACGCAACTCCACTCCTAGTCACCCGAGCGGAACACGCTCCTCAACCGCAGCCAACAGCGCCGAACGGCCTCCACACACCCACTTCGGCCCTGATGCGCCCCCTCTCCGCACCCCTACAGGGAAGGCGAAGAATGGCAGAGGCTCCGCAGCCTCCTGGCCCCGCTCCTCCTTCGGCCTCAAGCAGCTGCCCGCTATGCCAGGACCCTGGACAACGTGGTCCTTGACCTGGTGCGGCGACTGCGGCGCCAACGGGGACGTGATACTGGGTCGCCCGCCCTGGTTCGCGATGTAGCCGGAGAGTTTTACAAGTTTGGACTAGAAGGTGAGTACCAAGACAGTTGAGGCAAGCTTAGGAGGCATTACCCGCCCCCACCCCACCCCCACCCCCGGCCCAGGGTGTGGGGTGGAGATGGGGTCGCCCGTGTCCTGACAGCGCCCCCTCCCGGCCAGGCATAGCAGCTGTGCTGCTGGGTTCGCGCCTGGGCTGCCTGGAGACAGAAGTGCCTCCAGACACCGAGACCTTCATCCGGGCAGTGGGATCTGTGTTTGTGTCCACGCTGTTGACCATGGCGATGCCCAACTGGCTGCACCGCCTGGTGCCGGGACCCTGGGGCCGCCTCTGCCAAGACTGGGACCAGATGTTTGCATTTGGTGAGGCACAGACGTGAAGCGGGGATGGGAGGATGGAAAGCCGTCCAGGGGTAGTGAGGCCTCCCTGCACCTTCCCCCCACGCAGCCCAGAAGCACGTGGAGCGGCGAGAGGCCGAGGTAGCCATGAGGAGCCAGGGAAGGCCTGAGGAGGACATGGAATCGGGGGCGCACCTGACCTACTTCCTGTTTCAGGAAGAGTTGCCTGCCCCGTCCATCCTGGGGAATGTGACGGAGCTGCTACTGGCCGGAGTGGACACGGTAGCGTTCTCCCTCCATGTTGTGGCCCCACTTTCAGAGCTTAGCCTGTCCAATCTCAATCCAGCTGCATAGGATTCGCTATAGCCCTCTAGAACCGCTTGGGTTAGCACTTTCTGGACTGCGGGCAGCTTCACGTTCTGCTCCCTAGGCTGGTTTCTGCTCTTACTGCCTCCAATGCTCTCACCTATCCTCTCAGGTGTCCAACACGCTCTCCTGGGCTTTATATGAACTCTCTCGGCACCCCGAAGTCCAGACGGCTCTCCACTCCGAGATCACAGCTGCCTTGGCCAGGGGGTCCAATGCCCACTCCTCAGCCACTGTTCTGTCCCAGCTGCCCCTGCTGAAGGCTGTCCTCAAGGAAGTGCTAAGGTGAGGGGGAAGGAGAGAAGGAGCTAGAGAAAATGCTGGGGAAGGGCTGGGAAAGCAGGTAGTCGATGGGAGTAGGGAGAAAGTGGAGAAAATTGTACTCTACTCCTGGCCAAGAATGGGTTTGGAAGTTGCTGGCATGAGAGGGAGGCTAAAGGCCCAGCCTCACCTTCCTGTCTCTCCTTGTGCTCTGCCACCCAGACTGTACCCCGTAGTACCTGGAAATTCCCGTGTTCCAGATAAAGACATTCGTGTAGGTGATTATATCATCCCCAGAAATGTGAGTAGAGCCTATGGGTCCATTTTGCTAAGCCATCCCTCGCTATCTTGGCCCTGATCCCATTCTCAACTCTCCATAAGCCCTTCAAACCCTTCCCTTGGCCTGAATGCTTCTCTCTGGGATATAATGGGGCAGTGGAAAAATCATTTCAAAAGCAGCCACAGAAAATTTCCCCATCACCTACTAGAGCCTGCCTTCATCCCAGTCCATATAGTCTTTTCTCCATGTCTCTCCTTGCATTCCTGGGTCCGAATTGACAAGTCTGTGTTCCTCCCTCACCAGACGCTGGTCACTCTGTGTCACTATGCCACTTCAAGGGACCCTGCCCAGTTCCCAGATCCAAATACTTTTCGCCCAGCGCGCTGGCTGGGGGAGGGTCCAGCCCCCCACCCATTTGCCTGTCTTCCCTTTGGCTTCGGCAAGCGCAGCTGCATGGGGAGACGCCTGGCAGAACTTGAGCTGCAAATGGCTTTGGCCCAGGTGAGTGATCTAGACCTTCTCCAGACGAGAGAGACCCTAACCCTCTCAAGCTGTGAGCTCTTATCCTGACAAACATAGGAGAACATTTAAGACTTAATGTTTTAAATACGTCAATCTCATTATAGTCCTGGAAAGTGAGTGAGGGTATTTGGACTATCTATTTCCCTACCATAGTCCCTTATCCTGATTAACCAAGAAGTTCACTACCAACCTTGACCATTCTAACACAAATAATGCCCATGACCAAAGCAGCCCACCATTGTAGACTCCTCCCATAATGATAGCTTTCTTCCTCACTTTTCAGATTTTGACCCACTTTGAGGTACAGCCTGAGCCAGGCGCTGCCCCAATCAGACCCATGACCCGGACTGTCCTAGTACCTGAGAGGAGCATCAACCTACAGTTTGTGGACAGATAGTCCTGGGGAAGGAGGCTGTTACCTTTTCTCTCATCATAGGGGTTTATTAGGCACAAGACCAAGAGATGTGTATTTCCCCTGAGACCTGTCTATCTCATCACACTAGTCAGAATGATCATAGCAAAGGGTTTGAGGCAGTCCTGGCCAAGGTGTGAAGTATGCATTTGGCCTGACCCAGCAGGCCCGGAGAAAACCACACTCCCTCTGCTGCTCAGCCCTTTTCCTGATCATATCATATGCATCCTTCAAGGGCCAGCTCAGACTTTTAACTAATAATGCTGGGTGACCTGAGGACGAATTCCACCACTGCCCTTCGGGGGCTCCACAGTGTTCACAGATGCTGCTGACTAGCTCTTTACATGACATGAGCTAAGTAATTGTGCATCTGGTCTGCACCTGGTTGGTCTTCCTTGCATGTGAGCTCTTTGAGAGGAAGGATGAGGCCTTATTCAGTGTTTATACCCCTGCCAGGGCCTGTCCCTGGGTGACACGCAAAATCTCAGATTGAATCTGGACCATGTGGCAGAAGCGGGGAGCAGCTTACCAGGCTCTGCCTACCCCATTCCTTCCTCACCTTGCCTCTAGAAGGGTGAATCTGCCTTTGCCTGGTTTATGATTTTTTAAAAATGATCCTTGCCTCTCTGGTCACTATTGAGTTGGCTTGACTTAGTTCCCAGACAGAGACATCTCTGCACCTTTCCTTGTATATGCCTTCCTTTTACATATTGACATTTTTAAATATTCATAGTTTTGAAATTAAAAAAATTTGAATGTTCCCTCCTTGACTTTTGACTTATTTCTCTCCCACTCTCACTTCCTACAAGACCTGGAGGCAAGACCCTCACCCAAATCCCTGACCTTGTTTTCTCAGGCCCTGGGATTGACCCCAATAGCATGGGAGGTCTAGATACCTGGAAGAGGGGTTTGCATCACAAACCCAGACACGTTTCTGTCTGGAGTGGGAACAGCCAAGTCTGGCTCCCTGGAGGAGAGTAAGAGGGTGGTGGTGAGAAGTAACCACAGGGCTAGCTGTAAGAAAGGGCCAGAACTAGGGATTTACAGAGATGGCCAGAGGCGGCTGACTCTTTGGTAGAAGTGTTTTTGGAATCTGAACTGAAGGACATCCTAGAATGGCCACTCTGACCTCTCTGGGAAGATTGCTCCAACGTCTTTTCCTTTGGAGGAAGACCGGATACAACCAGAGAAACGAAGTCAGACAGGATGAAAGCTCAGTGTGAGGGTGGCCAGGAGCCCTGGGGCACCAAGCAGAAAGGGGCTGGGCAGAGGGAGCCTGTTGCCCTGAGTCAGCACTCTCTGGCCCCCCAGAAGTTGGGCACAGCCCTCCCCTGTGCTGTACACAGATGAACTCATCTTCCATATAAATCAATCTCTCAGCACACTCCCCACAGCTCCCTCTGAGGGTAGCCCAGATTACCCTCCCCATGTCAGGACTTGTCCCCTTTCCTCCTGCTCCTTCCACACCCCATTCCAATGAGCCAGATGTAGATGGAGATTTCACTTCACACTTCCTCCTCCTCCCCACCACCTCAACCCCCTGCCCTAGACATGGCTCCCTGACCACAGAAACTTCATTAGCCACCAAGCCTTCTGGGGAGTTATCTATTTGTGTAAAATCTACAGAGGGGCAGGTTGTCCCTTTACTGTCCCTTCTCTCAATTCCTGTACTATACTCGATCCCCATCCCCATCCCCCTATCACTAAACTCAACCCAAACTTCAGTGAGCTGATTTTTCGCCGACTTGAGCTTTGAAAGAATAAAGCCCCAATTCCTCTCAGACCCTTTCCCCTGGACTTAGTGATGCAGGCTCTGACACCCACACTCTCCACTGGGCAAGTTGGACTGCTCACTTGAGGATGGCAACAGTTACTATAATCCCTTTTCTGGATAAGATTCACTTTAAGGTGGAAAAGGGAAGGATAGGGGACAGTACTGATTGCTGGTCCCAACCCAATACCAAGACATCTAATGGTACTGAAAGGAAGAGGAATATACTGTCTCACTTGGCCTGGTTTTAGGACCTAGAGTCCAAATGGAGACAGTGTGTTTGTGTGCCTATGATCTTGGGATTATTTAAATTTCCATGTGGGCCATCACGGGGGCAGCCCAGGCTTGGCACAGGAAACCCCAACTATGTGGTACCTATCTGAACCCTATCTGCCATGATAGGCACTAGTAGTCACTCTGATTTGCTGTCTCCCATCTGACAGCTGGTCCCCACCAGCTATCCTGTGAATAGCAAATCAGTAAAGTCTGGCTCTTCTGTCTGCTCAAGTAGGGAATGTGGAAGGTTACTTCTCTGGAGAAACAATTTTCCACTGGAAAATGGGGGAGGAGGGAGGGGAGCGGGATATTGCTCAGCCTCAGTTCCCTCTCCATGTTGATTCCTGGAGGTGATACACATCCCACACGTCCAGGTGACTTTGGTATCTATACCTCCAGGCAAGTCTGGGTGCTAGCACCATGGACAGCAGCGAAGACCCCCTTTTAGAGAGGGATAAGAGATAACCAATACCCAAGCAAGGATATGTGACCTTTAACAGATAAGCATTTTTCCCCCAAACATCCCCAGGGAGCATATAGAGCAGACCTTCTCTGAGAGAAGGACTAATAATAGGAAAGGCCTCTGGATCTGACTTTAGCAAAGTGTGAAGTAATTAATTTAATTGCTGATGAGTAGTTCACTTAAAAGATACCATCATTCATATAATACACAGCTCTAAGACCTCAGGAGAAAGGGCTGAGGCTTAGGCTGATCCACATTTTAACCAGTCCTCCCCAAATTTTCTCTATAGACAACTGCCCTCTACGCTGCTGTCTCCAAGCACAATACTTCCAGTTAATACCACTAGCTGAGACACAGCAGGATCAGACCTATAAGCTGGAGACTCATATCATGGAAGGATTCTGTCCATCTCACTTCAAATAAGTCCAAATTCACTTCACACCACTTCTCCAGGTGAGCACAGGACCTGAGAAGGACTAAGAATCCAAATGATCCCCAGAGCAAGGAGAGCTCCAGCCTTCCTCTGCCCCCACGCGTAGAGCATTGGAGGAGCTCTCATTCTTACAAATAACCACCATCCTTCACATTTGCAATGTCTAGATTCCCTCATATTTACATATCTATGACACTCAACACACATTTCCAAGGCTCTGTGCAATTCCAGATGAAAAACACATTTTGCAATTTGTTAACCAGCTATTATTTGAAATAAATGGACCATCATCTACAGTATAAATCATTTTATGCCATCATTGATTTTCTTTGCAATGGCATTCAACCTGTCCCTTCTTCTTCTTTTTTTAAATATATTTTTATTTATATCAGAGAGGAAGGGAGAGGAAGAGAGAGATAGAAGCATCAATGATGAGAGAGAGTCATTGATCAGCTGCCTCCTGCAAGCCCCACACTGGGGATTGAGTCCGAAACCTGGGCATATGCCCTGACCGGGAATCGAACCGTGACCTTCTGGTTCATAGGTCGATGCTCAACCACTGAGCCATGCCGGCTGGGCGCAACCTGCCCCTTCTCTATCCTCATTCCAACCCTATGAGGTAGACAGGAAAACCACAGTGGAGAGATTTTTTTGTAAATCACAAACTTGGAGGTGGTAGTTCCGCCCATTAGATACCTCTGAGCATTGCCATCTAGCAGCCAACATGAATTATTCACCAGCAAGTGGGAGTTACACCTCCAATTCAGAACCCACTGCTGCATTTGGGATTTGTAACCTCTGCAGAGAAACCTCCCCACACCTCCCAACCCTCCAGAGAAGCCCCAGATGAGAAAGGAGTCTCCACGTGCATATAAATGATTCTTTATGCCCTCCCCCCATGCAATGGGGGGCAGAGCAGGGGAAGTCCCCCCGCCCTCATGCAGGGAACGGGAGGTCAATGTATACTAGTCTTATTGCCAGCTGCCCTGTGGCCATGGGGTGGGGAATGGGGGGGTCTACAGCCCCTTTCTTCTGGCATTGGTTCCCCCTCACCAAGTCACCATGATAGAGCTGAGGGGCTGGAGGCCCTAGGAGCTGAGGTAAGGACGGTTCTCTGGGGAAGAAAAGCTGTTCTCCCCACTTGCCCACTGGCTGCCCCAGGATGAGTGTGGGGAATGGAATGTCATCCAAGTGACTCCACCCAGTGGGCAGAAGCCAATGTCTCCAGCTTGAGGCTGCCCACAGAGATCTTCAGTGGTGGGAGCAGTGTGCCCCAAACATCTGGTCCAGGTGGTACCTCCAGCAGCCATGATAGCTCATCTCTGGCCGACGCATTGACTCAAGATCCCCGCTCCTGGAGTTCAGTTCAGACTGTGGTGACCCTCATGACAACCTCTCGGCCGGAATGGGAACTAGAACGCGCATCTGGTGGCCGAAGCTGTCCAAGGAGGTGCAGGATTGTGTAACCACAGCGCTGAGGCAAGAGCGTCCGCATGCGCTGGGCAGCCGGGGGTCGGCTGGTGGCCCCAGAGGGAGGGCCCGTCCGTGAGGTCCTGGGGCCCGGCTTCCCTGCCGTCCCTCCCCCTGCATCTCCTCCTATGTCCTTGGTCTTGTCATAATTCAGGACCTTCCACTGCTGGTTCACTGCCTGCCAGCGTTTGAAGATGCGGTAGACAGAGGAGCCTTCATGGACAATGAGTCCTAAGCAAGAGGGATAAGATATCCAGGGTCAACTGCTGCCCAGACCTAGGTCAGAGGTGCTGAAGCAAGCATTTTCCAGAGTGAGGAGATAGGGTTGCAAAAGACTTGGAGAAGCTGGGAAGGGAGGGGCACCAAGATAGCCCTAAGGGCTCTCAATGGTAGAAAACGTGGCCATAAAGCTGAAGGAATGGGGAGGGAAAGTTAAGTGTATGAGTGCAGTGGTTCTCAACCTGTGGGTCGCGACCCCTTTGGCGGTCGAACGACCCTTTCACAGGGGTCGCCTAAGAACATCCTGCATATCAGATATTTACATTACGATTCATAACAATAGCAACATTACAGTTATGAAGTAGCAACGAAAATAATGTTATGGTTGGGTCACAACATGAAGAACTGTATTTAAAGGGCCAGAAGGTTGAGAACGACTGAGTTGGAGGAAGTTGCTCCTCAGGTCAAAGGGGGAGAGGTGCCCTCACCTATGCAGACGACATCCATGAAGCCATACATGCCGTAGCAGATCTGAAATAGCAGATCCTGTCGTTGCCACTTGGCTGAAGGGCTGAGTGAGGACCAGATGAGCCAGGAGATGCTGGCGACGAGGAAGAGAGAGCCCAGAACTATGGCCGCAATCTGGACCTTCTCAATGACTGTCAGGGAGATGGCTTGCCACTGTGTGGGAGAAAGGGTTCCAAAAAGTCACAGAAAGACATGGAGGGCCAGGTGATGGTTAGCCCTGAAAAGGAGGATGCTCCCGGAGCCTTCCTGGAACCCTTCCGGCAGGATTAACACCTGTCTCTTCCGTGCCCTGATCAAACCTAGCCTGTGGCACTGCTCAAGTTGTTTGAAACCATGTGTCTGTCCTAGTTTAGAAAGGCAGGATCAGGCAAGTGCTCTGAAGCCAGACCATCTAGGTTTGAATTCCAAATTCTAACTCCATCACTTCCTGGCTGAGTAACCTTGGGCAAGTTTTCAAATTTCTTTGTGCACCAATCTTTAAGATGGGGATAATAATGGTATGTAACTAATAGAATTATTATGATGATTAAAAGAGTTAATACACACCAAGAGCTTGACACACAGAAAACACTACATTATTGCTGTCCTCATTGATGTTAC